TATTTTTTTATTTTAAAAATTACTAGGAATATCATATATAGTCCTATTTACCTCAAAATAACATATTGATTTGTTATGTAACAAATAAAGTAAAATAAAATCGTACTACGTCAGTTTTGTGTATATGAATAAAAACTAATTAGAGGCTGTATTACAACAGACTTACTTATAGGATTTCTTAATCTATGTGCAGGTTTGTAATTTAAACAGAGATGAGATGACATGACACTGTTGTTGCTATTATGTTACAATTTTTAATTTTTTTTTATTTTAGTACTTTGGGTTTTTGTGGACTTACCTTATCAGCTTCTTGGACCTCACAGATCTGCTCTCCAGTTGCTGGGTTGTAGACAGGGAAGACCTTCCCACTAACTGAGTCATGCCACTCATTATTGATGAAAATCTGCAGGAAGATATGCGTTCACGTTTTAGCCACATTTTAAGCTCACATTCAAAGCTGATATATTGCAACAATGAGTGGAAATAATGATTACATCTGTTGATATCAAACATTTATGTCACTTTAAGTAACCAGGCTGTAATACTATAGTGGCTGCAGCAGAGTCCTTGCAGTCTGTGAAAGACTAACAGCTCTTAGGCAGTAGGCCCAGCATGTCCAGCCTCTCATGTAAGCGATATGGGAGAATCTCTGGAAATCTGGACAGAGATTCCTGTGTGTCCAGCATTGCTCTCTGGGGAGTGCTCCACCATGCAGACAAAGGGGGTGGGTGAGTGTGAGACTTTGTGTGTGTAGGTGGGGTTGGAGGGGGATAAATCCCTATCTGACACAAGACCCCCAGCCACCCCCAAGCACAAAGACACACGTTTCACAACATCAGCGCTCATTTACGAGATCATAAAACACGTGCTGTGCTTGGTTTCTGTGAAGCGTTAAAGCAAGTCTTCCGTTAAACAACCGCCGGGGATTCCAAACAGGACATCTTTAATGTCTATAAAGAGCAAAAGAAAAATAAATGTTTAGACAATTGATGAAAGTGAGAATTGTGTCAGCAAAGTAACAGAGAGAGAATTTTTGGGGTCTGAGATGAAAAGTACAACAAAATGCGAGGTGTGTCTGTTGAAAGAGACATGTTTAGATTCATTAGGAGGAGTGCTCACAGTCTGTTTTTAATGGCTGTCAGTCCTTCTGATAGATAGAGTGCAAGGAGAACATCTGCTGGCAAAGATCCCTCTGTGTATACATGTGCTCTAACCATCCTTTTCCTCTGATGCTCTGAGAACAAATCTGAGAGGCAGGGTTCAAGTATCCCACCGGCCTCAGTCCTGCTAAACTCTCCAACATGTTTACCCCAATAAACACCCCCTGTTAAGTACTATTTAATTGGCTGTAAACTTTTTTTTTTTTTTGCATAATCTCTCACACTGTTATGACATATAGCTTACTGACTGAGTTATGCATGAATTGTTGAGATATTTCCAAAGTTAACATCCACCACACACAGAAACACACAGGTTGCGACTCATTGCTCGGTTTTAACATGTATTCCTCTATGCCTTCCCATCTGAGGCCACCTTTAATCTACTGCTCATTAAGAGCACTTCATAAAATTGTCAGTAACTTTAAAGCGAAGAAGGCTTGCCGCAAAAAAACAAAAAGTCCTGCAGAGCACTGAATTAGTTTTTAAATTTATAGGGGCCACTGAAGTGGGGCGCCCTAAATCAGAGAAGCCCCCCTGACAGCCTCAACAGCCTGGGCAAGAATGCAGACCATGGGTAGCTTTATCCGTGGCGTAACCCCTCTCGTTGGATGCCACTAAAGGAGAGGGGATAAAGCACAAAAAAACGCCATGGAGCAGGCCCCACCTAAATCACGGCTAGAAAAGGACCACTGTCAGCTGCCGCTTGGCTCTGCCCTCTTGCTGAGCTCAGACTGGTGCTAGACTTTTGTCCCGGTTCCATTGAGGGGCTTGATTAAGATGACAGGCCCGGGTTGTAAATCAACTCTCAAGGTTTCTTAAAATTACTTTTTAGGATCACTCGGACAGGGGGCAAAGAACACAAGGATGAAAAAACAAGTGCATGGGTGCACATTTTCAA